AGCGAGAGGCAGAGAGGAGTCTCGCGTCTCCCCAGATTCGTGCCTTTGCCGGCTTGCCCGGCAACAGTTTTAAGTGCGATGTGTGTACGTGGCGAGTTCGCACTCGGCCCACCCTCGCAGACTCTCGAAGACTCCACACTGAGCACTGTCTCTCCCCATGAGGGATGAGCAAGCACCAGTACGAACCACCTGAGAGAGACGGCACAGTCGCTCTATCTCATCGGCACATCGCGGCGTGGCACAGGCATGCATGGCGACAAGTCGTACCCGTATAAAAATCTCCAGGGCGGCTGGATGCGACTCGGCCGCGGGGCCCAGCTCAGATGGAGTTGGCGACGGCGGCCGCGACGGCAAACGACACGGCGACAATGGCGAGGCCGTTGGGAGGAGAGCCGGTGGATGTGGCGATGGCGGCGGCAAAGACGGAGGCGGTGAGCAGGCCGACGTATACGTACCCGATCGTGGCCGTCTGCCGGCTCTCCTCCTCGCTCCTCATGAGCGCAGAAGCCGAGCGCAGGCCGGCGCAGGCCGGCGAGGCGCTGGCGGCGGATATCGCGGGGCGCGCTGGCAGGCGCGACGCGAGCGGAGCGATCGCGCTGGCCGCAGCGATGAGCGCGAGCAGGACACAGTACCGCAGAGTGAACACGCTCATGTCCATGCCCCCCGTTTATCTTTTTAGCTGTGCTCCTCTTCTTCGCTCTTGTCTGTGAGAATGTGTCAAAAGAGAAGAAAAAATACCGCTCGCGAGGCTGAAGAGGTGCCCAGAAGCTGCGAGCCTGTCGCTGTTACTTGGAGCAGGAGATGGACGAGTGGCCTTCCCTCGCGCAGTCCGCGCTGACCTCGAAGCACGACGACGGATGCCCTTTAAAGCCGGTCGCGGGCAGCGAGGGCCTGCAGGAGTTCATCTGCGCCGTCTCAACTGGCAGCTGAACCGGAGTGAATTGGCGGCCTTCGCCGCTGGGTGGCGCGCGCGGCGGCGGTGCAAATTTAGCCGCGCAACGGCGCCCGACTCAAGGGCACTGTGCACTGCGTCCGAGGCGCTCGGTGGCTCGAGGTTGTGGAGCAGATCCCGGCCGGCAAGAGCGCGTGGCAGCCAGTGGCAGCTGGCTGTTGGATGCCCTTTGAGGGCGGTCCTCACAACGGCGGGACCTGGCTCCACGATCCCGCGACGTGGAAAGGGGCCGGCGCAGATGGCGACACTTGCCGGCGCTACTAGCGTGCGGTTTGCTCTGTAGCTCTCATTCGGCCACGATCTCGCAACGAGGAGAGGGCCACCGCGCAAAAGATGACGCCCCGCTCCGCAAGGCACCCGACGGGGCCTGGAGTCGACGGCCGAAGGACACGCGGAGAATGGGCGTGAGGCGCTGCGGCTAGAGATGTACTAATAGTCGGTTAGTCGATCGGCTGGCCAAGCAGGAATTGGATGCAGGCCGCGCCGCAGCTTGCGACTGGCCCACTGCTCGACCGCGCGAGCACTGTTGCTTGCTTTGCGTGTCTAAAATACTGGAATACGGCGGTCTGCGCCACAGCACCTCGGATACTGAAATACTGTGAAATACTCCAACTCTCCTTGCGGCGTGTCTAGGGATACTTACGAAACACTCTGGCGCCATGTATTTTCGGCGCGGCACGGCCACGGCGCACGGCGGGCTCTGGGCCGGCGCGGGGGCCCCAGAGGGTGTCCATGCGGGGGGGAGATGGGGTCCCATGGCCCGCCGCAGGCGCCGATTTTTTTGGATTGTTTTTCTTTTTTGGAGTTTTTTACTTGTTTTCATGGGAATTCGGCGTACTTGCGGCCATGCTATCACGCCTTGCGACAGCCTGTCGGCGCAGCTGACCGTGCCATGATGCACAATTGATCACCTGCATAGCTCGCGGCCTTAGTATCAAGCATTCAGTGACGACCTGATCGTACGGCCAGTAGGAAGGTGTCCTTCCATCGTGTGCACGCTTCTGGCGCAATGCGCGTCACCTCGGATTGGCTGCTGGCACTCTCGAGGCTATGCCTACACAGCCTCGCGCGCATGGGCAGTCAAGAGGGACCACGCACCTTCTCAGGACAGCGCCGGTGCCTCTCTCTTGGACCGGCAAACGTGGTGGTATCGTGTCACCAATGTGGGACCAGTGCGGCATCGCGCCATCGACAGCTCTGAACTGCGCCTCACCACTGACCGGGAAGGCCGCCAAGTGGGCCAGCACAGGTCGCACATTGTGGCAGCAGTCAGCAGTGCATGGCTGATAGCTAGAGCAGCAGCGTCAGGGTCGCAGGGTCGGATCGTGTCAAGCCTCTCGCCCGGCCGGCCGCGTGCAGACGTCGGCCTGTCTGCTGTCTGGAGTGATCTGTCGGCGGTCAGTACGACCGATCATGTCGGAGTATTCTGATGGTTGGAGGGTCTATCTGTATGTACTCCTCGAGATCTTTCCAAATCTGCCCTCTACTC